TTCAGGGTTTAGGGTCTTAGGGCTTTAAGGCTTTGGGGCTTTAGGGTTTTAGGTCTTATGGTCTTAGGGGTTTAGGGCCTTAGGGTCTTAGGGTCTTAGGGTTTGGGGTTTAGGGCTTTAGGGTCTTACGGTTTAGGGCTCAGATTTTGGAGTCTTCTGGCTTGGACGCTGGACATTAGGTGCTTTTGTCTTTAGGGCCTGGGATGTTAAGAGGTTTGGGGTTTAGGGCGTAGGGTTCTGCCCAAGATTGCAATGGAAGGTCAGGGCTGACATCAATGGCTCTGCAGGGGGCATGTCCTTCTTCTGCTTGTGAAGCTTTACACAAAGCTTCTTGGGTTTGAGCCTGAGCTTCCCGAAACCTTAGAACGTTTAGGCACTTGGATTCAAGTTTCTGAACCCTACACCCTACATTGAATCGGAAGCTTCGGCATTTAGGTTTCGGATACCGACGTCGAAGGCTAGACACCAGGAGCGAAGCCCGACCAATCCTCATCTAAAGTGCCTTGAGGGTTGAGGATTTCGGTGTTAGGAGGTTTAGGATTTAGGGGTTTTGGGGGTTTAGATGCTGAAACAGGATTAATGAGTCATAAACTTCATTCTCCATCCTCCATGCCTGCTCATTGAGCCCTGAACTCTACTGCAGTCCTTTCCTTCGACCCTTTTACTTCGGGCATCTGCCTGGTCGTAGCTCTTCCGCTGCTCTGCGTCACTCAAGACCGTGAATGCTTCTGCCAGCTCCTCTCATAGGGTTTAGGGCTTGGGGGGCCTTTAGAAACTTTACAGCAAGGCTCAAGCTTCGGGGCTTGCCCAAGGATCCATGTACTCACATTAAGCCCGTATGTACTTCCACTGGGTCCGCATGTTAGCAGACACAAGACCCCTTGACGGACAATGAAAACAGAGGCGCTTGGCCGTTCTGAAGTAACGAAACAGAAGCTTACAAACTCAAGCAAGTGCCATGAGTTCCGGTTCCCTAAACCCTAAGCACTAATAGCGTAGGGGCCGTAATATTTAGAATAAGGGTTTGGGGTATATTATACCATAATTCGAACAAGGAGCGCCCCAGAATGCTGTTGGTAGTTATTTAGGCTTCTATAGTACCCCAATCCCCTCTCACACAGTCCTTAAAGCAGAGCCTAAACTCCACAGCCTGTAGCCCAGGATCCAAAGACCATCCATGTAAAGGCCTGGAATACCAGTCAAGGTCCATATACACTCCTGTTGATGATAGAAATCCTGCATGACCTCAACGACCCTAAACTATGGGAATTGTGGTATATTCCTTATTATGGGTAATGCAGGATTGATATCATCAACCGTACCACTATGGAATTAGGTCCCAAAGGACCATCCTTATTCTGGTTTCGGGGACCTAATTCCACCGTAGTAGCATATGTGGACCCTCTTAGCAATGCTATTTCCTAGGGCGGGCTGGTCTATTTTTTTTTATAAAGTGTACACTATACCTGGACTATGACTATAACCCTATGCTTCAAAAGTACCTTCTTATTGGGTCCCTAAGGGGTCTAGGGCCCTAACTATAAAGTCCTTGGAAGCATAGGGTAACATCTCCCTAAACCCGAAACCCCCAACCCTAAACCCTAAACCCTGAACCCTAAACCGTAAACGCCCCAACCCTAAACCCCATTCTGATGCTGAAGACCTCACATAACCCGGCCGTTGCTCCTTAAACTTTTCAGCGGCCCCGGCATCTCCGTCCTCGATACGGTTACGGGTTTACGGCTTAGGGGTGTCCTTGGGGTGTAGGGGTTTAGGGACTCTATGAGCACTAAACCCTTTAAAGCCTAAACCCCTGAACCCCTAAACTCCTAAACCCTAAACCCTCACCGTGGCTCTGGCCCTAAATCGTATGGCTTGTTTTGGGGATTTAGGGGTTGAAGGCTTTTGCGGGTGGAGGTCTTGGGGATTCTGGGCTCGACGGCCAAAGAGGGATCAGTCTCCCGAGTTCAAGGTTCAGGGTTCAGGGTTTAGGGTTTATAGGGTTCAGGGATTAGAGTTCAGGGTTTAGGGTTGAGGGCTTGGGGTTTGGGGTTTAGGGTTTAGGCCTTTGGGTTCGGGTCCAGTCTTAAGGGCTCAGTGAGTCCAGGGTTCTGGTTTCTTGTGCTCGGTTTTCTTTGGGTCGTAGAAGGCTGAGGGTACAGGGCGATCACATGCCCAAGTCGCATTCTTGTCTGGATGCCATTTCAGCGCCAGCTTCTTGTAAGCCTGCGCTGCAGTTCTGGTTCCCGAGCCCTCAGGGTTAAGGGCTAAGGGCGTAGGGCTTTAGGGTTCAGGGGTTTAGGGTTTAGGGGTTTATGGCTCAGAGTTTAGGGTTAAGGGTTGAGGATTCAG